TTTTTTGCTGGCAAATTGTATCTCAAATATTCTCATAAACTTCTTGATGAGTTCTGTCTCAATTTCAGATCTATGATAATAAAGTTTATTTATTGTTCAAAGAAAAACATAAACTCAGTTTGTTTTCCTAAGTTTAACTGGTTTTTCAGATGGTGGACAATAAAGTGACTCTAATGGATCCGACAAGGTTGATACTTCTCCGATTGTAAAAGACAAAAGCTGTCCACCTATCTTTGCCAGTGTTCACTCAAGTGCATCTAATTTTTTATCAATAGTTTCTCTAGGTCAACTGAATTGATTGTGTCCTCTAAACTGGTAAATTATGTTTATTTAACCTTTTATGATGAATGTTTACACGAGGAAGAAACCAGCGAGAAAATAAGTGCACTGTGCGATACTTTTATTCAGGCTTATAAACAAAGTCGGGCCGACAAACTTCAAAACAAATCATGTTGTTTTTGTAAACGAGAGAAACAAGTGTTATCATTTTGTGATTTATTTATAAAAAGTAATAAAAGATGTGCATGTTTCTGCTAGTTAAGCTACCCGCACTTAAAGTATTAAGATCATAAAATAAAATCATATCAAGACATTAAAATAAATAAAGTTTAAATAAATAAAACTAGTAAACACCACCGTCGTTGATCATCTTAAGGTTACTTGTAGATATCTTCTTAATGCTAGTGTTTAACTTCGATTGAGTGCAGTTTAGATTGAAATTTACTGTAGTTTCTATTGTAAAAAAGGTTAAACAGTTAATAACAACAGGTAAAGGTAAAAACTCACCAAAAGGACAGAAATCGGGATCCTTGAGAAGACCTTCCCAGAAGCGGCGAGACAGCTTGAAAAAAGCCTTCATAACCGTAATTTGCTTTTCACTTTCTCGTCGAGAATCGCCAGAAATGGACAGTCGAATAGTGCTATTCTTGGCACGAGAGGAGCCAACAATCATCGGCGCAAAGACTGCTGATAAATCATCGGCACTTAGTTTGACAACAGTTGACGACTCCAAAATGCGATAAAAGTGCAAAAAGAGAAAGCACAGTGAATCACGATTGGCGTTAGGAAGCTGCACAACTACTGCCTTCAAAACACGCAATGCCTCCTGCCACTCTTCGTTGGATGAGCCATCTGATTCATTATCTTGCTGCGATTCGTAATCGCTGTCAGTGGGAGAACCATCACCAAGAGAGGTTTTCTGAATGTGTTCTGCAAAAGAAACGTGTTAACAAGTTAAATCAAACAATAACTTTAGACTAACCTGAAGCACGAACAAAGTCATTCCACATGATTCGAGTGACCACTGGATCGTCCATGTCGCGGAGGAACATCTTGACAACACTGCAGAGAACATTTAGTTCAAAACTGCCCAGATTTGGAATGCCATTTCCGCTCAAGATGCGAAGTCGAAGTTCTTTTGCCTGCTTTTCGGCAGTTGCGTTTTGATAGAGACCGCTGAGAGAGGAGTTCAACGAGTTGGGGTTCTTTTTTGCCTCCTCAACGCGACGGTCAATCTCGTTGCAGCAGTGAATGAGCAGAGCGGGCACACAAGGTCGGGAGCCAGTTTCGGTAAAGTCAGCAAGCAGTACCATGCGGCCAACTTGGTTGCTGCTTGGTTGTTGCATTCGCGTCAGACCGGCTTTGGATGCGCGAAAGGGAACGCAAGGCTTCGGTAGCATTGCCTTACACTTGTCAGAGGCGTGAGTAACTCCATGGCAGTCAGTGCAAACGAGGTAACTGGCGCAAAAACTAATGGTTTTGCCACAAGCGCCGCAAACGGTTGAAGGTTTAAAAGCCTTTTTCTGGTGAAAGGTATGCTCCCGTACGTCCAGGCGCTCGTTATCAAATTTAGTTCTTTTTCGCATCGCGTTCAGCCGGTGCATTGAAGTGTTTGCGCCAAAGTTGGAAACAGTAGAAGCAGATTTTTTTAGCTTAACCTGAGGACTGTCAACGTTAGATGTTGATGGAATGGGTACAGGACGGGATTCGGTTTCAGCATCAATTTGGGCGCAAGATTGATCGATATCTTTTTTGGGGACGTTTGCTACAGTGGTGTTCAAAAGGTTGTCTAGACTGTCATCTGATTTGTCAAACAAAAGACCATCATCCGACGGATTTGAATCGTTAAGATCATGAAAAGTTTGAACCTTTTTCAGGCTGCTGAGAATCGACAACACAGAACTGTGATGCTCGAGATTGGGCTTTCCACTGAGTTCTTCTTCATTTATCAGATCCTGAATAGAAGCAACCTTCTTAGTCAGTATTTTGTAGTCTTTCAGTAAGGTATCATATTTTGAAATTTCGCGGGTGTATGCTTGTCGAACTGTGGCGAGATGAAGATTCAGAAGATGATTATTCTTTTGCAGTTCATCAATTTGGTCATTTTTAAGTTGAAGTTCTTTCAAGGTGGTGCAGTGAATTTTGCGAAGTTTTTCAAACTTATCAGCCATTTTAAAACTTTCTTCCATGTTTTCTGTGCAGATGAGAAGATGTCATTAACTTGCCGTACATTTAATTCTCCAATCAACGAAATATCAAAATGATACTTACGATTCATGGCCTGAAACATGGCCTTTTGATCGCGAATCAGATCGTCCATTGTCTGGGCCAATGATATGGAGTTTCGGGGCTGCTCAGGTGAGGTGTCCATGTTTGAATGTTGTTTGAGATGTGCAGAGTTTCTGCAGGTTGACCTAAAGCATCACTGTTTTATTGGTTTGCCGTTTTATAGCCTTTGGGCCAGTTCAGAGTTCATCCAGTGCTATTCACTGGCAGCACTAGTGTGATATGGCCAGGTGCAAGTGAAATGAGTCGACCACGTTTTTTTCCAGCAATCGTTTGCAATCATCAACGGTTGTCATTGAGAAGATTTGCAAACCAACTTAGTAAGTGTAGGGCAAAATATTTTAAACTTGACTTTTGGGTTCTAACCAAAACTAATTAATCAATTAATAAGGTAATTAAGTTTAGAACAACCCTAAGCATAGAACTTGCCCAATGCCAACAATACTTCTTACAGACAATTTAGTTGTTTACATCTCCCTCTCAGAAAGTTATTGAAGTTGTTGTTGCTGCAGTTTGCTAAAAAAGGAAATGTCTCGTCAAAAGGGCTCCAAGACGGCGCAAAAGAAGAACAGCCTTTTATCGAAGAACCCTGAATCGCTTAGCAGCCAGTCGAAGTCTTCGACGCAGAGCTCCAAAACCGCCCGCCTCACCGACCACGAGGAACTGCTGACGAATGAGGTGGAGCTGATGCTGTCCGAGCTGAAGCGCACCGACGACGTCCAGGAGAACGTCAACGTGCTGGAGCAGATGAAGAAGCTTATCACGACGACGACCGGCTTCGAGTCCCTTCCCAAGACGCTGAAGATTCTGCTGGGCCACTACGCCGAGCTGAAGGCGCTCTACGAGCAGAAGGGCAGCGCTGAGGTGAAGAAGCGTCTCGCCAGTCTGATCTCATTCGTGGCCACTGCTCAGCCGCCCAACTCCAAGGGCGACGTTCTGCGCTACTACCTCCTCTCCGACACCGACGCAGTGAACCTCTGGGGCATCGCCTACGTGCGTGACCTCAACAAGGACGTCCTCGAGCAGTGGAAGGAGCCCAGCAACAGCAGCAGCAAGGACACCCTGGTCAGTCTGGTGGCTCGCATTGCCCGCTTCTACCTGCAGGAAAACTCCGAGGTGGATGCCGTGGATCTGCTGCTGGAGACGGACCAGTTGACAGAGCTCACCTCGCTGGTCACCGCCGATGACGTCTGCAGTAAGGTCTGTCGGTACATCTACAGCAGTGCGCAGTACCTGCCCGACCCCGAGGACAAGAGCGCCCTCTACGTGGCCATCAATCTCTGGCTCAAGTTTGGCCACTGCGTGGAGGCGCTGATTGCCGCCATTCACCTGCAGAACGCTGCAGCCATTGAGAAGATCTTCTGCCTGGCCGCTGACGAGACGGTCCACAAGCAGATGGTCCTCATTCTGCGCCGTCACAACTTGAGCATCAACAGTGAGGTGATCAAGCCGTCGGCCGCCAAGCTGCTCACCGCCAACTTTACCAGCAAACACTTTCACCGGGTGACAAAGCAGCTGGACTTTACTGCACCGAAGGGACCGGCCGACTTTGTCAAGCCGCCACGTGCTAATCCACGTCATCGAAGCCTCAGTTTGCTGTTGTCTCAGCAGGAAGGCAAATCGGCAGTGGGCGACTCCCTTCTGAGTGGCTTCGTCAATGCTGCCTTTGGCAGCGACAAGCTGCTTCTCGAGGGCAAAGACGGAACCAAGGAGCAGTCCTGTATTCAAAAGCAGGAAAACAGCGCCAAGATTACCGCCGTGGGCAGTATTGGACTGCTCAATCTCTGGGACGCGGCCAGCTGCCGAGGCAACATTGAGAAGTACCTTCACTCGACTGACACGCACCTTCAGTCTGGAGCTCTCATCGCCTGTGGCCTGGCTAACTGCACCACCAAAAGTGAGGCCACTGATCAGCCACTGCAGCTGCTGAAGAGTCAGCTGGAAGGCACCTCCTCTGGTGAGGTTCAACTGGGCGCCATCTTTGGCATTGGTCTTGCCTACGTGGGCAGTCAGCACCAGCAGGCGAACGGCACCCTCCTGGAGATACTGCAGAACGACAAGACCAGCCCCATGAATGTCGGTCTGTGCGCCCAGTCTTGTGGTCTGATAAACCANTCGTGGGCAGTCAGCACCAGCAGGCGAACGGCACCCTTCTGGAGATACTGCAGAACGACAAGACCAGCCCCATGAACGTCGGTCTATGCGCCCAGTCCTGTGGTCTGATAAACCACTCCAGTGCGGATGGTACTGTCATTGGCGCACTCCTCGAAACGCTGGCTGTCCGTTTCAACGAGCTCAACTCCAAGGCGGCCTGCAGCATTGTCCACTCAATTGGCCTGCTCACCATGGGAAAGGTGGAGATGCTGCCCACTCTGCTGGAGGCCATTCAGGTGGTGCCCAATGAGCAGCTGCGAAAGTACCTCAAACTGGTCGTTGAGGTCTTTGCGCACACTGGCTCCTCGAACCTTCTGAAGGTGCAGCAACTGCT